GCCCCGCCGGGAGAAACGGCCGGCGCTCGAGCGCCCGCGCAGGGGCCTGGGCGGGGCTTGAGGGCCAGGGGCGCATGCGTTTCGTAGTGGGATCGGCGCCCTCCACTAGGAACGGCCGTTTCTCTTGCGCCTGCGCAGGCCGGAAACGCCCGGAAGCAGAAGAATGGGCGTGGCAATGGGCGTGCGTGACCCTGACGGCTACGGCAAGGTCAGAAGGATGAGCAGAGGGGAGACGAAGCGCTTCGGCCCTCGGCGTTTGGGCAGCGGCAGCATTAGGTCCAAAGGGTACTCGGGGTCAGAACCATTAAAAAAAAAATAATCTAATGGCCGACAAAAACTAGATAAGTGATCTCGAAATATGAATCCATCCGTGGGTTTCTAAATTCATGCATTCATCCGGTTAACGTGAACTTCTCGGAAGTGCCTTCTCTGGTCTCTGTAAACTTACCTCCTGTCACACGGTCCTGTAGCACTTATGGCTGCGCTTGATCAGTTTGTCTCCTCCCCTGGGAGGAAAGCCCCGGGAGTTCAGGTCCTGACGGCCTCTTCATTGGCCCTTCAGCCCGGCGCCTACCAGGTGCTCATGAGGGAACAAGCACTTTAGTGCCCATCGGGCTACAGGCTTTTAGGAGAAGAAAGAAAAAGACCTTGTCCCTCACCCCTCCAGCCCCACCCACGTGCTCTGTGTCAAACAACACTGCGTGCGACAGAGGCAGAAGAGTGAAGCTCCCAGAAGGCGTGTGTTTGGACCCTGGCTCTCTTGTGTATCCATGTGGTTCAGAAGAAATTTTCTTTCTCTTCTTTTGTTTTCAGTTTTTGTATCGAAATTTAAGAGCAACGCTACTACCTGCCTCTCAGGGTTATTACTAAGCGTTAGGTGAAATGGTGTACAGGATACGATTTTTAAAAAACTATATTGCCCGGCTGGACGTGGCTCAGCAGTTGAGCATCGACCTAGGATCCAGGCAATCGGTGTTCGATTCCCAGTCAGGGCACATGCCCGGGTTGTGGGCTGCAGCCGATCAATGACTCTCTCATCATTGATGTTTCTATCTCCCTCTCTCCCTCTCCTTTCCTCTCTCTGAAATCAATAAAGATATATTTAAAAAAAAAAAAAAAAAAGAATTTACCTTTTGTCCTTTATTGCCTTGCCCGTCCTTGGCCACTGGCCCAGGAGAGGCTCATGAAATTGAAGAAACGCTTTGGACTCCTTGCCAGGTTATGTACGATTCATTACAGTTCAGCCAGCTCGCAGGTGTTTGTCCCCTAATTAATCATTTTCTCTTTCTAACTCTACTGATTCCCTCCATTTGCTTTCCTTGACTTTATTTGGTTGTTCTTTTTCTAACTTCTTAAATTAGTTGCTGTATTAGTGTTCTATTGCTGCCATAATAAGTTACCACTTAGTGGCTTAAAACACACACGTTTATTATCTCGCAGTCCTATAGGTCAGAAGTCTAGCAGGCTCGGCTGATTTCTCAGCTCTTGGTTCCACAAGGCTGAAGTCAAGGTGTTGGCCCACTGGGTTCCTATCTGAGGGCTCTGGGGGAGAATCTACTGCTAGGCTCATTCAGGTTGTTGGCAGAATTCAAGTTGTCTTCCCTGTGGTTATAAGACTGAGATTACCATTTCCTTGCTGATTGTTGTCCAGGGGTTGTCCTCAGCTTCTAGAGGCTGCAACTTTTCTATAAATCAAAACTTGCCAAAATAAAAGGTTATAGAAAAGTAGACACACAAGAGACAGGTGTTCTCTCACTGGGTGTTGCTCGGTCTGGTTGTTTGCCTGGATCCACAAAGTTGGACGGAGTGGGCGCTGAGCGCAGCAGGGCTGGAAGACGAAGCCTGCGTCTTTGCTGATGCCAATGAGCTGCGGCAAGTCCTGGAGCTGCCCTGAATCCGGACTATTGTTTATGTGAAACAATAACTGCATTTTGCTCGAGTCTTTTCTCCCCACTCCTGTGGGCTGTAGTTGAAATCATTCTGGTTAGGAAAGGCAGACAAGTAAACAGGCTGTGCACTAAAGTGTTTCAGGGGCAGAGGCAGAAGTCTGTAGGACACGAGGGGCAGACTGGTGAGTCCTGCCTGGGAAACAGCATCAAGGCCAGTTTCAAATAGTGGGCTGCTATTTGAGCTGAGTCTTTAAAAACATTTTTTAACCGATACATTTGACACATAACTGAGCTGGGTCTTGAAAGATTACAGGTGTTTGCGAAGCAAGGGTGTGGGGCATGGAGGGAGAAGGAGGGGCAGTTAATGTTGCAGATTCCTAGGGAATGGGCCAGATTCAGAGCTGGAGGCTGCTGGGGCAGCAGGGCCCCATCAGGGAGGGGCGGCAGAAGAGAGGCGCCCTGCAAGGGACCGACATGATCAGATTGGCCTTGTAATGGGCTCACTTGGGCTGCTCTATCCAAGAAAGGTCAGGATCTTCAAAATCGGACGCTGGGAGACCAGATTTAATAGTTTAGAACAATGATAACCTCAACAGAGCTGGAGGAGAGAAGTTTATGGATTTACTTGGGAGGCAGAGTCAGTAGGATGTGGTCTCTGACTGGCTGCGGAGGTGCGGGGGGGGGCTAGCGATGCTGAGGCTGTAAGCATGGTATTGACGGTGGTCCTGTTTATGAAAGAGAATACAGAGGGGGAGCTCTAGTTTAAGGAAAAGATACTGGAATAATTCCACTTAGGGCATGTTGCCTTTGAGGTTTGGAAGGGAACTAAGTAGAGATGGAGGGGACACAGTGGATCTAGGGGTCTAGGCACCAAGGGTGAGCGGAGATTCCCCAGGTAGGGCATGTACAGAGAGAGGCCCAGAGCCCAGGGTGCATTCAGGGAGCTAAGGTGAGTGGTGTTGCAGAAGCCAAGAAGCCATATTTCACTGTGAGGTGAATATTGTAGAACAGTGCTGTCCAATAGAAATACAATTCCAGCTACATACATCATTTCCATATTTTTAGTAGCTACATCAAAAAAAAGTAAAAAGAAACAGGTAAGATTAATTTTAATAATATATTTTATTTCACCCAAAATATCCAAGATATTCAAGCTGGCTCCTTTGTCCTGTGGCATGTCTCCTTTTTAAATACTTTCTTACTCTTTGGCATGACAAAATGTCCCAGGCCCCTCATCTCAACTCTACAATGCCCAGCCCTAGAATCAGCCATTTATTTCTCTAACAAACCCTGATTCCTTTTAGTGGGGAATGGGATTAGAGAACAGGATCTTAGTGCAGAATGTGTTTATTGCTAATGGAGTGCATTTAATCTCGGGCCCTTTTACACACACACAACACGCAAAGATACACATATGAATATGCACACATATCCGTATTTTAGAATCATGACCAGTTCACACTGTCTCTCATTCCAATCCACTTTCACAGGGTTTTTTATTTCCCTCCATTAAGTATGTGTTTCTTCTTCCAGAGTGAGAACTCTGGCTTTTAACATCAACGCATTTAGTCATTTGCTTAATCATATAATACATCTAAAATCATTTCAGGATCATTTTGCCAATATGGGTACAGAAACAAACCTAATAGAGTCAGAACTTGTTTTCAGCTTTCTTAACCTCCTAGCAAGGTTGTTCCTGGGAGGAAGACGGTTGCAGGGAGGGAGCAGGGGACCTGAGGCAACCGGAGGCGATGTGAAATCACAGTGGAAGGGGCAGGGTGTGGGAGGGTCAGTTCCAGATGCAGAGGGTAAATTTCCGAGGCTGGAGGAGATACCCGAGTGGTGGCCCTGGTCCACTTGATGGTGTGTCCTCCTGCAGCCGCCTTGGCAGCCTGGGTGTAGGAGAAGACGCGTGGCTGGGCTGGCTGGAAGGATCCAAAGGTGGGGAACTACCGGGTGGATGTGGCAGAAGGACAGAGGGTGAGGACTCTGGGGTGCTGGCAAGAGAGGGGTTGACGTAATGCACCCCAGAGTCTGGGCTGAATGGGGAGGAAGCAAAGCCAAGAGCGAGGAGAGTGACTGGAGCTGGCGCCGGGCTGAGAAGGAGTTTACCGAAGTGATTTGCGGTCACTGAATCCAACAGTCTAGGAAGAGCCAGTGCAGGGGACCAGGAGAAGAGATGGCCTTGTACCAAACTTGGTTGGAGGCAAGGTGGGAGGGGGCTGAACTTGGAGCAACCAGGGCCTTTCTTCCCCAGGACCAGAGTCTGAGTGAGAGAGGAGCGGGCTGGCCCAGGCTGCGTGGGAGCCATTTCAGCACATCGCTGCCACGTGGCATCGACAGCCGAGGGAGGCATCTGGGTAAAGTCGCTTCGCAGGAGGAAAGGGAGCTTGCGGATGATTTCCCCCGCACAGTCACTCGCCTTCGAGGCCGAGGCCGGGAAGGGAAGGCCCAGATCCACTAGGCAACCGCGCCAACCATCGCCCCAGTCGGGTGGACTGAAGCCCAGGTGCTCTAACTCCCAAGCTAGTGGCTGTCTGGCCCCCAGACGGTCTGCAGCTGGCCTAACGTCCACTGGTTGGCCTGTTCTGGCAGGCTCGCTAGTCTTTGTTCTTCACCCGAGGTCTTCTTTCCGGGGGGGGGGGCCCACAATAAAAACACCACTATGTTTTTATAATGGGGGGAGGGAGTAGAAAAGAAAGCAGCCCCTCTACCAGGCCTTAGTCAGTGGCAGCGTCTCACTGCATCTCCATGGTTCCCAAGTCAGGGACGCGTTCCTTCTGATTGCTGACTGTGGGAATAGCCCGTATCTTAGGGTAGGAGTGCTGGCAGGAAGTCAGAATTTTCAAGTAGCATCATCTCTTTCCATATTCTTA